TGTCGGATCCTGGGCGGTGCATGTGGCGGGGTCACCCACTTCTGTTTCACTCCTAGTGAAGACGGCTGTGTCATGACCATCGGTATGTCTATTTGTGCGCGTACCGTGGGTTGGTCACTGAACGTGATCGTGAGGCTGGGGCCAGGGCGCAAATAACTGCGAGCTGGGGTTAGGCGATGGCCAACCGAAGAGCGCCACAAAGCCAGTGGAGATCACAACTCTCAAAGGCATTGACGTTTTCCAGTAAGTCGCATGACTGGAATGTGCCGAACCCATTCCCTACTATTATTTCGTTCAGGATTGCCGCGGGAGCGCACACATCATTTTTCCTTGCACGACCCAATCAAGCTCTCAGTGACTTGGACAGATATCCCGAGGTCGAGCCCTCTGAAGATTGCCAAGTATGCCGCAAGAATGAAGGAGATGGGTCAGACCTCCTAGAGTGTGAAAAGGTGGGGATATTGAACAGTTTGCTGCTTTATGGCTTACGTGTCTGTGATTGGCAGTGTGAGAACCCGTATCACCTCCACTGTCTTGATCCACCCTTGAGCACCGTGCCCGACGGGGAATGGTTTTGCGCGGAGTGTGAGGCAGATTCCGATAGCCGCGGAGTTAACTCCACGGATAGCATCGATAGTGAGAGTCAATCTTCCGCGCCTAGGAAACGAGGCCGGCCTCGCAAAAACGTGAATGTGTCGGAGGACGAAGAAGAGGACGAGGAGGATGAAGATGGGGATGAGGATGAGGAGCCGGCGAATAAGAAATATCGGAAGCAAGTCAAAGGTAGGAGTTACCCAGCTGTCTAGATCCCTTGTTCAAACATAACGCTTTATAGGTAATAAAAGAAGGCGATGAGCTCTTCATCCCAATGATACATTTCTGTATTTCGTATTGCGCTGTTTTACCTTCATCTTTTTCTCTCTAACTGTTCACCTTGGGTTAATATGTAATTTGCGTGTTGCCACTTGTTGTGCACCCCCGTTCAACTTGATAATAATAATATCCCTTCACAGTGCACACCGAGGGTGACCACAGATGAGGAAATCTATTGGAACTAGATAAAAACTCTGACGGCAGCCCTTGGATCTAAGCGAACTTAATTCGTATATCTCGTAACCAACACAATGATACCTGCGCAGAACCCAAATACAATAGCCATTCCAAGCCCCACATAGAGGAAGAACTCAATTGGAACATTCTGGTCGTCATCAGCTTGTCGGGGCGCTGGAGGCACCTCACCTCTCTCACTGGCTTTGGCTGCAAGAAGCTTCTCGTGGCGTTCAACAGCTCGCATCCGGGCGTCACCGGTGGCTCTGTCGGACACACTGGATCGGCCACCTTGGGCCGTGCGGAGGACAATGAAAGACGGGTAGTGTTGTTCGCACCACTGCTCGATCTGCGAGGGGCGAAAATAACACTCCTCAGTCGCCAAAGGATGAAATAGATGGAAATGTGGACCTTTACCTTTCCGCATGCAATACTAATTTTGACAAAGTATGGGTCAGCAGGGACAAGTTTCGCGTGTAATTCGCGCGCGTAATCACGGAACATGTAAGCAACGTCTCGTGGATTGGTCGACTTCATGATCAGCTATAACAAAGTTGTTCAGCAGAGATATATAGCCAAGCCAATTTCCATACGTTGACGGCTTGCGCCTTCCGTATTTTTATGTTCCTGTCAAAGACAGTGGGATTCATGAAGCAGAGAGCAAGGGTAGCCATGGCCATGGAAGCGGGGATCGCACAGAAGTTAAATACACTTTGATTTCTAAGAAGAGCGAGGTAATCGAGCGCATCCACGGAATGCCGAAGAGCATCGAGTGTCATGGCACTGAGCACCCAGATAGCTTCTTGACGTTTGTCCAAATCCCGGAGCTCTGCTGGATGCTTGAACCCGTGACTCTCCCATATGGACTTCGGCCAAAAGAATCTCGAATCATCGATATCTTCCCGGATATCACGAAGGATATTCACTTTTTGGAGAAGAAGGCCCATCGAGTTGGAAAGGACCAGCTCGTTTGCTATGTAGGATTTTTCCTTGCCCGTGGCGGCAAAAAGCCGTGATAGACCCTCACCGACGAGGCCAGCAACGTAGTGACAATATAAATCAAACTCCTCAATGTCATCAATGTACGTTCCGGTGGGTGACATGACGGCCTTGTGAGCGTAGTCGGCCATACCATTCTCCATTTTGTGCGTGATGTCAACGATGACCTCACGGACTTCGGGCTGCACAAGTGCAATCTCGGCGATAACAACATTGAACTCGACCAATAATTGCCGATCTTTTTCGTTGGGGCCACTTCCCCCAAAGCACCAGTCAGGAGTTTGGAGCTTTTCGTGAAATGAGCGAAGAAGAGGTTGCTTGATTTCGTCTGAAATGGTCATGTCGTCTTCAACTGTGTCAAGACCTCTGAGGGCCAAGTAAAATAGTGCAGTCTCGGGTAGTCAGGCGAGTTAGGGTCCAAATAAAAGGGTCTCATATACCAGGATGCTACTCACTGCACGAGCCAAGTCACCATCCAACTCCTTGATGACAGACGCGAAACTACGGCTGGTCATGTCCAAGAATTCCCAACATCTCTTCATATCTTTCCTGTTATAACCTGTTGCCTCCCACTCGGCGGGATTCGTAATATCTCGCTTAGGCTCGTACCACAACTTATATTGCACCAACGTCCGAACATCGTCAGGATGTCTGGCAAACAGGTAGAGCCACCCAAGGATGCCCATGGTTGAAGTTGGCTAAATGCTGCCCAAAAGAGGAGGCCATTGAATAGCGAGTTGGGTATCGTCAAAGCATGCCAGACCCACCAAATGGATGTGTAGAGTGCCAGCAAAATGGCACTGAGGTGGAATAATAATAGAATCGTGCTTGGAACTTTGCGCGCGTGACTTCCCTATAAGGCAAGTGAATCATCTCATTATTTGGGACTTGAGGATTAGGAGGGTAACTAGTGATACACAAGAAAGGTATAGATACATTAGAGGGAAATCAAGGGGGGCTATTTAGGAGTGGAGAGGGGAGTGTATGCTACACAGATATCTAGACAAGCAAAATTTCTCTTTACCCTAAAATATTTACTGGAAAACCACCCATCACCACATCAACAACTTGGGCTGGAAGTAATTGGGGACACAATTTTCATCGTGGCTCAGTTTGATGACCTCTGGGAACGTCTCCTTGAGCTTTTCGTATGATGTGTCCGGAGTTGCATCCGAACTTCCCCATGACTCATCGTTCAGCTGAATGAGCAATTCGTCTTCTTTTGCCTGCTCGTATCCGCCATATGCATTGATAAGACCAGTGATGGCTGTTACCATGGCCTGTACACACTCCTTCGTCTGATTTGCGCCGTCTGGGTAGTAGACATCTGCGCTGGCCTTCATGACATAAAAGTACTTCAGCTTGGGGAACTGCTCTTTCCATGGCGAAAGCGAGACCGGCCCGCACAGCATATGGAACACTCCTGGTGTAGACCAATCCAGCCTTGAACCGAGGGCTTCGACGGAAGGGTGTGCAATAAGAAAATCCGCGATGGCAGAAGGAGAGAATACGCGGTGCGACAACCAGACCGTTACCAACTCTGGGAAACGGGGTTTCTTTGTCTCCGAATCGACTACTATGATTGGATCTGCCCACACGCTTGAGCCACTGCCTGCAACAATGACAAGGTTCCTAAGAGCAGGGAACGACATATTGTTGTACAGTGGTGCATCTGGAGTACCGCTTTGTGCAAGGCTAAGCCTAACAACTTGCAGGGAGGTCGAAGTCAGAGCCGTCAAGTCCCTCGAAGCTGAATCCCCCTCCCCAAGGTCGTTCACCCAATTGAGTGTCTTCAAGTTTGGGCATCGTGCTACTAGGTCCACAACATCCTTGTGAGGAGTACCCGCAAAATCTCGCAAACGAAGATGCTTCAGCTTGGAGGTGATCTTCTCGTCATATTGAATTTGCACCGGAGCATGCAGTGCATTCAAATCCAATGCCGTGATTTCCGCGCCCACGCTGTCGTCTACGAGGGTGATGGACGTTGGAGAAGGGGGTGGTGACGGATCTGAGCGAGTTGGATCCTGGCCATCCCATGCGATCTGCCATAATTCAGGCATCGGCACTTTGAGAGGGAATATCTTCTGCGCCGTCTCGTGACTACTCGTGAACAAGCAAAAAATGTTGCATCGCAAGAGGTGAGGAGCAAGCGAATCGAACCACCGTTTGTAATGCTGGGCACTCCAGAGTTTTTCCACATTCTCCGCATGAAGTTGAAAAAATAGAGGCGTATTCTTCGATCGTTCGAGATAGGCCCGTACACGAGGCGTAAGCGCACCGGCATCCATAACTATGTCGCACCAAAGCGTTGGCGTATTGAGGGCAACAGTTCGCCAATGGTGGCAAACCGCACAGATACTCTTGACGAAAACGGCTTGGGGAGCGATGTATTTGAATGAGCTGCCACACTTGCTAAATATCATGGAGAGAACGGTGTCTGGCATGCGACACGTGGGAGTCTTCGCGTTACGGACTCTGTTGAGAGCCGCTTGGGCATAGGCCAATTCGGTTTTGAGAGCCTCAAGTGTTTTCTCCACGGCGGCTATCTCACTATTAAGACTGAATATCCTGGATTCCCACTTTCCCAGTTGGCTTTGACTATCCGAAGAAGGGATAACCGTCAGCCTGCAGTGCAGAGTCCGAAAAGCGACAAGGATAACGTCAGTAAACTCACGCAGCGCTTTCAACCTCACTTTTCCGTTCCTCGCTCGCAGCCTCGCTTTTGGCAAGGCGCTCCTTTAAAGCCTCCAACAGCATCATGTCAAAGATCACTCCTCGTTGTGGGAATCGGAAGCGGGACCGAACTAGATGAAATCGACTCCCCTGTCAAACTCAGCGGCAGTTGCCGAAATAGACGCGAGGCGTCTACCTGGCATTAAAACGCACAACAAGTTACAGGCTCAATAGGGGCATGGGAGTATTGAACATATACAAGCATCATTCTAACATAGCGCTCATTCCAGGCCAAATTGCAGGGTTTTGGCGGCTCTGGCTGCATTGGCTTTAAGAGTCTCTACTTGAAGTTCTAAATTGCGAATCTGTGCTTTGGCCTCGCGTAGATCGGTTCTGAGTTGTGCGTTCTCGGCCAGGTGAGTATCCTATAAATATGAAAACCGATATACGATGGTTGCGTAAAACATGTGTTCAGGAAACTCACATCACCACTTGTCCGTACGGGAGAGGGCTCGTCACGCGGGATAGGAGCTGGGGGGTGCAGGGAAAAGCTCGTCGGGTAGACAGAAGTAGCGACAACAGGGCTTGGAGCAGCATCAACAAATCTCCCTTGTGTGAGAGGCGAAGGTTCAGGGGCAGGTACGGATACAGGTGCCAGTGCAGTATAGGTCCTCGTAGGAGGATTAGGGATGCTTTGGGTTGGAGCCGAGAATGGAGAAGGCGTAGTGGCTACGGCGGCTGACGAAGATGTGATCTCACCGGAGTTGAGATCAACCAGCTTTGGCTGGGCAGTTTTACCAGAAAAGAATTGGGCGGCGGTTAATGCAGGCTCGTCGGACGCTGCGGGGGGAAAGATATCGGACTGGAAGGTGTCCGACTGCCGATGACGTAGACCTCAACTAGCAGTCTAACAAAAGCACACTGGAAGACGAACCTTGCGTGGCACGATGAAGGCAATTGGCTCGATAATCGAGCCAGTGACTTTGTATGCACGAGCAATCTCGCATTCTGAGACACTTAAGGCTCTCCTCGGCAAGAAGCACATTCCACGTTGGGGATCAGAAGACTTGTGTTCCGACAGAGGATGCAAAGCATCTGACTCATACTCGTAAAACCTGAATCGATGGTAAGCAACTTTAATATGTGCCGGTGGGTTCACAGCACATGCCTAATGTTTCCGTCACTGTGTGTTGTGAGCACTTGTCAATTCCGTATGCTTGGACTCGCCGATCTAAATCACGTACCCCTTTCCGGCTACAATAACATGACCAACTGAGCAAGAAGGATTGTAGCACACGACCCTACTTACCCAAGAATATGACCCCATTGTCACTCCAGAACGGCATCACTACGCCAGCAGATTGATCAATGATAGTTGTCGTCACATTATTCAGGGATCCGGGTTCCCAAATTGATAATTGCCGATCAGACATCTTGCTGAAGCCGGTAGTAGCAAGCCTATCTTTGTCTCCCATCCAAACAATGCGTGAACCTTTGATACCGCTATGCCCATCGGTGATTCGGACCGCCTCTCCACCAACACGAGGGTCGAACAAACGTATCTTACGATCACGACAGGTGGTAGCAAGTAAGGTTCCAGTCGTATTAAAGGCAAGACCTTGGATCGTGTCTTGATGCCCAGTGAGAGTTGACCTCGGCTCTTCTGGGGAACCAAGATCCCAAAGCTTGACAATATAATCACCCGATGTGGCGGCCAGGACATGCGCAGCAGTGGGGTGAAACTGAACTTGTCCTATCTTTCGAGCCGAGCCAGCAATTCGGGCGACAGGTTCGAAATCGACAGGTTGCCATTTATCTCCACCCCAACCTTCGAATTCACGCGATTCAACTTTATAGACCAAGATTTTACCGTCTTCGCCTCCGCTCGCCACAACATTGTCTTGGAAAGGGGACCAATCAGTATCAAGAACAGGGGCGGTATGTCCTCGAGCAAGAGGTATTATGTCAGGGAGTTTGTAGGGAATGCCGAAGGGTATAGGTCCGAATGGTGAAGGCAAAGGGAGGATCGCGAAGGCTCCTCCTCCGGAAGACGCCCAGTTCAAGCTGAGGTAAGACTATAAAATGTAATAAGATGCTTCATAAGTATCTAGGAAGAAAGAACGTACGCCAGAGGCGCTGATGAGGTTCGTGTCCCAGGCACTGGTTGTGACCTTGACATTTTCGATCGAATTCTCCTTTTTTGCTGGCTGGCCGAATACGTGTCTAGAATAACCCTTCCAGCATGATTACTACAACAGAGAATTCTACTCACCGGTACTTCGAAGGTCGCACGAATCGACTCATGGTGTTGATTCTATTGGACAACTGGTCCTGTGTTTGTGTTGATCGGAAATTTCCGCTGCATTGATCTGCTTCGATTCCCAGTCACGATTTCCACGCATCAACGCGCAGAACATTAAGATGGCACCTTCTACGCCTTCACAGGGACTTCCCAGTCCTCCGCCACGAACCCCTAATACGCCTTCAAGAGCTTTTCCCTATACATTTATACCCCACTTACCCAAAGTCGGCACTGCCAAAGTCAGATTGCGTTCTAACGTCTTCGCGTTATGCGCGTATGCCATCGTCTGGTGGCAATCTTCTCTATACGGGTTTCTCAAAGAGTCAGTTGTGCTTGTCATTGGGGGCATTTCGTCGACGCGGGGCGTCTTGAAAGTCTTTAGTTGGTTTGGTGCGTTTATCTATATTCTCATCTTGTGACCGACTCTCAAGTTCTTGTACCCGCCAGAAAACGTTTCCCTTTTTATAATCCTATGGAATATTGTTGAAGCTATATTTGTCATTAACCGTACCCCACCGCCTGAATCAATCCCTCCGTCAGCTAGCGCCGCGCGTACAGGTTCTATCCGCAAGCCACGGGGTTCAAGCCTTCGATTCCTCACCACCTCCGTACGCTTTATTATCAATGCTCCCTTTCAGTCGGCTAATCTTTCCCTACTCCAGCAATCCCAACCCACTTCCCCACTCTCCAAGTCCATAGTGTCCCCTTACCTCTCCTCGTCCCTGGCCTCATCCACCGCCACGTCCATATATGACACCCCCACTCGAAAAGGCATTACCAACGCCCGCACATCTCTCCCCTTCATGAACTCTGCTTCAAGGTTCGGCCTTACCCACTCGGTATCGACGCCCGTAGGGTTGGGCGCTAGCTTCGATTCTTCATTGGATAGCGTTCCTAGAGGGGATCTCTCTGCACCTCCGCTTGCTTCATATATGGGACAACAGTCTCCGGAGAGCAGTCGTAAGTGTGCCCCTTAACTCGGCAGTTCGCAAGGCACTCTTCAGGCTGAGATTGTCGAATGTGTAACAGGACCTCTGAGTGGTGAAGTTTTGAGAAAACTGTTCAAAGAGGCCGACTCCTGATCCAAGCCATGCATCGAATCATCACTTACTGCACATAATATGTCTAGTCTGTGCACCTGACTGTCAACTGGCGCACAAGAACTAAATGACCACGAGTCACAATCACCATGATATCTACTTTTGGAGCTGTTTTTTGTGATAGGAGCCGGCGAGTTTTACCCTAGGATATTTGAAGCAATTTTGCATAGATTTGGCAACACGGGTGCCGAACTTCTGCCTCACATTTCCCGATTTCAAAGTCCGCCATATTCCCCCTTCGCGACTACTCAGCCGTGCCATCCGCGGACCTACGCAGTATCCTGTATATCATCTCAGTAGTCTTACGATTGGGGTCTTGTTTCCGGGTGCTCATATTCACCGAATCCAAGTGCCTACTGCCTACCGTTAAACCGTTTTGTCCACCTTGATGGTTACTCAATGAGATTTTAAAAGTCCAGTCATCAGGCATTCTACTGCCGAAGTTCGATAAATATTGGTGCGGAGTACCAAAAAATCCGCGCGCCCGATTTGGGTCAACCGCCGGGGTCTGGTGATGACCCAAATATGGCAGCGGGTCAGTAACAAATGATTTCTGTTTTAGGCTGTGTGTGGCAACCAGCGCTCATTATTTTCCTAAATCGTCAACACACTTGAGATGTCCAAATATATTCAACGCCAAATTAGATGTCTTTTTTTTGCGTGCTGTTGTAAATGGGGCACAAATTCTGCACCGAAATACGACTCAAATGGATAGTATATTGTAATGGATTGTACTTCATTTTGGGGGATATTTTGGTCCTTTCACCTTAAAAACTTGGTACTTTGACCGGGCGGGAATATGCACGAGCCTTCGATGTGCGTTCTCATAACAATCAACACTCAAACATGGAAGATCTTAGCCGGCTTGCACCTAGCTTGTCGGAGCTGTAGAGTTTGGAGGGAACCTGGTTTCGGGAATATCCTGACAGGCAAGCCCCGTGACTGGACGGACAACCTGAATTGTCACTAGAAACTGGTGGGGCATCCAATAGTGAAATTGTCCAAGCGATGTTGAATTGTTGTCGCTGGGATGTACCGAACTTGCACTTATTCTCCTGCTCATCATCTGGTCCTAACAAAGGAACAATGGCCCGCTGGGCTGGAAACAAATTCGCATCGATTGTCCTGCCACAGGAGTAATTCTTTATTGTGAAGGATGACGCCGATCCAGGTGATTCTAGTGCCTAAGCAGTTGTGTACAGGGCCCCATTTACTTCGTTCCTGAACCGGCCCAATTTTCCATGTGGGTAAAAATGTCTGGATATGATTTACTCCGTCCGGCGTAGTACAAGGCATTATCTGCGCGGCTTCGTGCCTGGGTGCGCTGAGTATGAGTTATATTTGCTCATCGGAGGTCAATCTCATACCAAAGGATATTTCCATAGCCAAAATTGGCACTACCCCTTTAACATCTGCTTAATCGGATTGTCTTCACCCATCATCATCATCTTACTGGCGCTCTGGCGCGAGCAGACAACAGTGACACCACCTTTGTGCTCTCACCCTTCACGTCTACACCTCATTGACATTAGTACAGGAGCCTATATTTCGCACTTGCACCTTGGGCGCTTAAGCTATTATGTCCTCCCTCGTCTCTACCGGGCCTCGTAGAGGCGCGGTGATGACGGAACACACTTTCCATGCCATGGCTGACTCCCAACAGCCCCCATCTTTTGCAGTTTCAGACATTTACCATGCACTAAACGATGAGTCGGCCGGATTAGCATTTCTCAAGGATGCTGAAGTGTCCGATGTTATTTGTTACCACTCCGAAGGTGTAAGTCAAGTGTAGATCTCCGATGGACTCCCACCTCGCTGATGATGTGTTCAAGTCAGGGAGCCATTATTATCTGATGTTGAATGTACGGTTACCCCAGCAAACCGGCGCGCACAACGTCGTATGCGCTCGCGCCGAGAGGGTCCCTGGCACACAAGAACGTGCGTTTTTCGGAATCGTGCGACGGGCTCCTGCGGCTTGCGATAACATCAAGTTCTCGTATTCCGCCCCCGTAATTCGGGGTCCGGGAGACGACCTCATCATGATGCTCCGTTGTAACAGCGTTAGGCTCATCCAAGCCGTTTATTTGTTTGGCATCATTCATACTCACTCTCAAGAGTATCATGCAACGAGCCTCAACTCCTCGTGGTTTGCCGCAGGTGCATTCCTTTCCCTTCTTTCGTGTTACATACGTGATTTACCACCTTAGGTAGTTAGCGTCGGTGTTCTGCGTCATTTAGACGGCAACAGTGATTGGACCAGCTCCCCCAACAGGGAATGGATTCGAGCTGCTGTGGGCAGTAGTACGAAAGAAGTGACGAGGAAAGTGACGCGCGAGGCTCTCTCGTTTTGGGACGTCCATGAAGTTGTTGATCTCAGCAATGAAGCAGTGTGGGGGCCTTATCGCGAACCTACCTCCCAAACAGAGCCTCTGCATGAACCCGCTTCTCCTCAGTCCACACTGTCTCAACCTCTTCTAACCCTATCCCCAACTACTTCTCTCTCCCCTAAAGGGTCTGGCAACACGTCGCCTCCACTATCCAACAATCATGTCTACCCCACTGTTCGTGGAGTGAATGTAAGTTTAATTTACCAGTATTTAGTATTTACCAGGCATATCTTAACACCTTCCCTTCCCTGCTGTACCAGGGGACCTCAGTCACTGGCCCTGCGATTACGGACGTGTCACGATCTGTTTCAAGTGCCTTTGGCTCACCTCGATCGACGGGATCTTATCCCAGTAATGGTTCTATTAACCTACCAAGAGACCTTGCGTTCCCCGAGCTGGTGCGACGCGTCGTGGCGACTGACGATATCGACAATTATAAAGTATTGATTGTTGGACATGAGTCTGTCACCCCTCCGAGGGAGTTGCTGCGGGTCGTGAAGAAAATGGTCAGAGGTTTGACTGGAGATGGTCGGGCGCAGCTCGAGGACAGAGTTCTGAAATTTTTGCACACCTGGGTGTCGATCGGATTCCTCGATACTTCCCTTCACCCGGAAGTTCTTCAATATGTGAATCGCCCACCATTCAGCCATCGTGACGACGTGCTACAGATTCAAGCGGCCCTGGCAGAACCGACACCTCCTCCTGCTACAGAGCACCAGTCCGAAACAACGACTCCCTCTGTGTCCAGCGCTGGTTTGACTGCCTCAAATAATCAACAAAGAATCGAGAGGACCATTGGCGAAATGGAGTCGGAAGACCTCCTGGGGCTCGCAAGGGCTCTGTTCGAGATGGAAACAGACAATTGGAAAGATCTTACAATGTTTCGTGCCGTCAAATCGCTGACAGCCTGGCGAGACGATCCAGATGCGTGGGATTCTAAGCCATTCTCCCCCTTGGCAGGAAAGGTATGGAGTTTACCAACCCATTTGGTCCCAAAGAAGCTGAAAGTTGTCCTTTGATCAGATACATGATTGGGTGAATGAGGAATGTCTGGATGCGAATCCTGAAGTTCGACAGAAGGCATTCTGCGCACTATACCTTCTGGCATGTGTGAGTTTCGCCTGTTACATTTTACCACAAGAGATCCCCTTAGTATTTTTCCTGGGCAGGAATGTGAGAGGATGAGAAATTTTGCAAGCTCTCAGGCTATCGCCCGCGGTTTATCTGGAAGATTCCTTAGGAGATTCAACCATATTCGTGATCGTGCAGCGAGTGAAGCAGGAGGTCCAGAGAAGCTGAGCGCAGCACTCCAGCGCCTTTTTTCCAAGCCTCCGAAAGATATCCAGGTGGCAATTCCTCCATTAGGTTTGTCGACGACTCACCATTAGTATTATGTGCTAATAGATGGTCTAGACTCTCGATTACGAGCCCTTCTACCAGCGTTCCGTGCAATTCGGGATGATGGAGGCACGGTAGACTGGGACGCTTGCAAGGAGTTTCATCGGTCTTTGAATC